GTTTGGGTTTCGTTTGGTCCCGCCGCAGGTACAGGGGAGAGGGGATCCTTCCTGCCAGCCCCCAGGATGTCTGGGAATGCATAAAGCCGGTGGCCGGCGGGCCCAGGACCAAGTGGGACCACAACGTGAAGGACTTCGAGGTCGTCGAAGCCGTGAGCGATGTAAGTTCCTTCAAATCCGTGCTGGTGTCGCTAAGGCAGCCTTGTGTTCAGAAGCGTGGGGACCGCGTCAGAACCTTAAAAGGGCATTGGATTTAGATCCCCAAATCTGAAGTGGATGTAGGTGCTCGGAGGCAGCCAGGGTGCAAACACAACCAGTTCCAGGAACATTCGTAGGAGTCGTGGGGAGACAATTTGTCTTGGGGGAGCCTTGCAGACATTTACTATTAATTATAAATTTCAACTTTAGGAATGATGCAGCCTGCCATTTGAAATTCATAGACTTTATCAGACTTGCCAGCACTTAACAGTGTGGTAGAAACCTCTGTTTTGGGGACCCTGTCACCACAGAGCCTCCACAGAAAGGGGTGGCAGTGTTAAGGTTTCTGCAGTGCAACAGGTCTGGTTATCAAGTTGTATCCCACGTGAATGATACAAAAAAGTTCCCTTTGATAGCTTCCTGGAAAGGAGAAGCATTTTAACTGTCCTGTGAGCACAAGTGTGCCAGATTTGCTTTTCAGCATCCCTTGTGGTATATGTCCTTAAACAACCTGGAAGCAACACAGTGTCACTCTTTTTCTCCATTAAACTGTCCATCATCAACACACCATAGTGCCTTTTGAGCGTGCTGATTTGCATTTTGTTCAATAAAGGCTGTAACAGAACTCCTTGACACAGTTTGGAATGTGTAACTGAAGGAGTACCAGAAAGTACAGGGATTTTTCCGCTGTACTTTCAGAAACATCAACTGACATAACTGTTTTGTGATTTCCAGACTGTCTCTGTATGCAGAACCACAACTCCTTCAGCTTTCATGGGGATTATTTCACCAAGAGAATTCGTGGATGTGGTACTAATAAAGCAATATGAAGATGGGACAAAGCTATCTGCTGGTAAGATGCTTGTGTTCTCAACATGTTCACATTATGTTAGGAGGTAATCAGCAGGTACTGGAAATAAATATAAAATAAGTAATATGCTGTTAGCAGGTATGGATCTGATCTTGATCAGAAGATAGAATAATAGTGGTCTCTCTACTCAGAGTATGTAAGTAATCTTAGCATTCAGATAATGATGATATTGTTGGCCTGTGGTTTCTTCTCATGCTATGCTTTTGAGATTAAGTATTTAATTTACTATTAAGTTTTTCGATGCATGTGTGGTTTTGTTGTTTTCTTAAGAATTTACAGAACTTTCTAAAAAGGATTTAGCCCATTTAGGCTAAGTCCTATTTTAACATTTTCTGCACTGCCTGTAAATTTTGGTGAAGCCATTGAATAAATGTACCACTCCTGTGTGTGGAAATAATTGTTCTTATGAAACCAAGTAGTGCTGATACTGATTTTTAAGGGGCTGCCACTGTGTGGAGGATGTTTCTTTGTTTTTTCTCTTTCATCCTGTTGTTTACCTGTTATAAGTCAGTGCTTTTATTGCCCCACTGTTCAGCTGTCCCATTTTCTCATCCTGGTCGGATGGGAATTATACTCACTAGAGTGCAGCTTCTCAGCAGTCAGGTGGTGTACACCCCTGTGGAATGGAGTTGTTGGAAGTAACTTGAATGACCTCTCAAGAAAAGCAGTGCCCTCACGCAGCATGGGTTCAGTGAAACTCCCTCAAAGTGACTTGCTTGAAGTAACAGTTGCTTCTAAATTCAACACTTGTTTGATTTCCCCATTCCATGGCCAGAGTGGTTTCTTTTAGTGGTTTTTTCTGACTGCTTGTATGGCACAGCCCCACGCTGAAAAGGTTATACTGCCATTCTTAAATATTTTCTCTTTCGGTGAGCTTGCTTC